GTCAAACCTTGAGGTCTCGGAGCATGTTTGTTGCGTCGCTATTGTTGTGTGGCAAGTCGAAAAAGAAGCCGCTACCCGGATAACTGGGGACTGGCGGTAGAAGATAACAGCTGTGGGTAACCCACCTATGAGCACGTCTCCTGTCTGTAGCGAATGTTCCACCGCTCTGCGTGCTGGACCCTCTAGTCTGGGAGGCATCAGCCCACTCGAAGGCTGACGTGATGTATCTGGTGCGCGCGTTGTTCGATGTAGAGCATTCTGGAAGATCGTACGATGGGCTCTGGGAGGACCCGAAGAATTCCTTGCTCTCACTCTGTCCCTCGATGAATTCGCTGTAGCAATCAGAGGCGAGTTGTCTGACGATCACACCACTGTTAGTGTCGGAAAGTAGCCCGGCTGAACCCAATGAAGATGGTCTCCTCACGCTCCCGACAAAGCGGTTGATTGCGGATATAGCGAGTGTTTTGGAGAGGCAGTTGATTGATACCTATATAGTTTGGGGACCTCACAGCCCTTGTTCGCTCCTACGCGGAGCTGGCGGATTCGGATCGAGCCTGAGTGCCGATAATAGAGCGTCGGTCCAGGTTCCCTTACCCAAGATAATAGTGAACACAGATGGATCAGCGAGAACAGCCGCGTGGTGAGTGACGGTGAAATCGTTGGAAGGGAAACTTGTCTGCATGCTTCGGATCTGACCACTTGGGTTTGATCCACCTCTAACTGTCTCTGCATCTCCACAGGATGCCGATATTTCGCGTAGCTCACGTTCTCGGTTCGAATAATATCCTGAGTCAGTTGGCTAGTTGTGAGAGCTGAAGCATGTCTCTGTAGCGGCTGAATGGTCGAGAGGCGAACCTATGCAATGCCAAGTGCTAATGGATCTCATGCATGTCCAATGGGAGGGTCGTACGAGATCATCAGCCATCCACGACCAGAACGTGCGCAGGTCTGTCACTCTCCGCAGGCCACATTCTGCAGCTTCTGTGTTGCATGATGCCCAGTACCTTACCACGGCGGCAGTCGTTCTTATACAGAGCGTGGTGACGACTTCTCCGGTCAATCATGGGATTCTGAAGTCTTCAGGCAGGAATTTCCCAGGATGTGACTCGACTGATTCCACAGACTATCTTGAACGGCGTACCTCAACTGTTGCTCTCTCGTTTGGTGTACCAGTGTGCCCCGCGAATCGTATATCAACAAGGTTAGAATAATGAACTGAAGCATAGAGATTCGTTGCCTGATTGTCGGACAACATCCAGTCACTGGATGTTGTCAACATATAGATTATATATGGATAGCAGTGGATAACAACAGCGTCAGAACTTGTCCACTGGATTCCAGTGGACAAGTTCTAACGCTCGCACTGATGGCACTCACGAATATCAGGTAGGAGACAATCTCGAAGAACATTATCTTCAAGTTGATGTACTCCGCACTCTTCGGATTGAGAATTCTTTTCCTATTTATTTGATCGTAGCATTTCCACCAAATTGGATCAGCTAGAAACGACTGTGACTGCTGTTCGTCCTCGAGCACCTAGAGAGGGCGCCTCGAGTGAAAAGGACAGCAGTTCCTGTCACAGGAGACCGGAGTAGAGTCGCGTGTATCAGTGCCAGTCGATGAGGATTGGTGATTTCTGAATGTTTGACCTGCCTGTGACTCACTTCGTAAAGATCCCTCAGGGCATGTTCGTTGTGAGTGGAGGGAGTTGTAGGAGGCATTTCCAGTCTGTCACCAAAATACGGGTCTACCAGAGCGATGTATGAACAGCTGAGTAAACAGACCACGTAGGAAAATATGCACATGGTCAACTACATGTGTTTGTGACAATGGGAAATTTCGAGAAATTCTCATTGGTTTCTGTACATTTCTACCCCAATTCGTGTGTAAACTTCTACAACTAATGAGAAAGCTCCTCATTGCTCAGCTGAGGAAACCAAGCAGACATTTCGACACTGGTGTAGACTGTCTCACATTCATGCATATTTACGGTCGTACGATACCCTGCTAAGCAATTCTGGAATCGATCCTGAGTTTCGAAATGGGTTTATCGAACGACTTCTCTATTTCATATGTCTGCACCGAACACTACTGGTGTTGTTACTGTTATCAGGGAAGTTGTTGAATTAGAATTGGGAGCTTTTCAGTAGGGACGGGTTTTGCAATCCGTCACGCGCCACGAAATTTCGCCATGGTGATCCGCGCGCCCGTGTGATCTGCGCAAGATTCGTTTATACAACTCGTCAACTGTTTCACAACGATGGAAAGGTCGATAGCAATCTGCATCATGGCAGTGGTCCTCAAGATAGAGACCTACATGATCTGTCGGGCATCTCGTTCGATCATCGTGCGAAATTGGATCAGTGTTGCCTCACGGAGCAATAGATGTGTATTCTTGTTGGTCCTATAGAGAAATTTAGATAATAAGGTTCGGGTTAGGGACCGAGTGACTAGTACATTGATCATGACAGCGACAACAGTACCCGTCTCTGCCAGGGGATACTACGCACCTAGCAGGCATCATCAGGCGCCTTCCTATCCACGCCATTACAACGCTATGGGACCAGCTGCTGCAGGTAGCAATACTTGGCTCAGCGACTTAACCGTACTGAAATCAGCTTACCTCTCCCAAACAGAGGCTCAGAAACCTCAGCGGACCCAGACGAAGCGGGCGATAGGGCACTACATTTTGGGGAAAACGATCGGTGAAGGTGAAGTGGCATCACTTCTACTGCACCAGAACAGGAAGTGTGTTCAGGAACTTTCGGGAAAGTGAAATTGGGAACGCACATTCTCACTGGGGAAAAGGTGATTTAATTTATCACTCTGCTTTTGGAGGCTTTTGGTTTTCAGGTTGCTATCAAGATTCTAGAGAAGGAAAAGATCATTGATATCAGCGATGTTGAACGGGTCTCTCGGGAAATCAAAATACTCAAGGTGAGCTCCCTCTGATTTAGTGATTTTGTGATGGGCGTATTTTTCAGCTCATACGGCATCCACACATAGTGCAGCTGTATGAAATCATCGAGACCCATCGGCAGCTTTATCTCATCATGGAGTATGCGCCAGGTAAGGTGACTCGGTGAGAAGGGGGAACGACTGCTGTGGGTCAGGTGGGGAGTTGTTCGATTATATAGTGGACAATCAGAGGGTTAACGAGGATGAGGCCTGCAAGTTCTTCAGACAGATCATATGTGGTGTGGAGAAGATCCATGAACTTGGGGTTGTCCATCGGTAGTGGCTTACTGGTAGTGGCTGAAGACGGTGTTCGGGTAGGGACCTTAAGCCCGAGAATTTGCTGTTGGACGAGGAGAAGAACATCAAAATAGTTGACTTTGGTTTATCCAATACGTTTGATAGCGGTCAGTTGCTGAAGACCGCATGTGGATCGCCCTGCTATGCAGCGCCAGAAATGATCGCAGGGAAAAACTACGTAATGATAACCACCAACAGCTGTTGTTCGTCGAAATGATTTTTCGCTTTTTGTAGATACCACACCTTTGTGACATCTGGAGTTGTGGTGTGATACTGTTCGCGTTGGTCTGTGGGTACTTACCCTTCGAGGATCAGAATACTGGTAGCCGTGTCACCATCCTTCCGATCTAGGATGGTCCTGTCTCCATCAGCCCAACTCTATAAGAAGATCATGTCTGGCCACTATCAGACCCCTGGTTATATCACATCTAATGTTAAGAGTTTAATAAGGGTACCGGCGGAAACGTGGGAGTTGTTGAATTGAATTGTCAGGGGCTGCTCGTGACGAATCCAGACAAGAGGATGACCGTGAGTGATATCAGGAGGCATCCATGGTTTCTCGGTGAAGCTGTTCGCACTTCCCTTTCGAGGGAGCTCAACTTTGGTGCTGGCAGTAGGGGTAGCGGCGTCGTTGGAGCGATGGTATGTCCCTTCGTGGCAGGCAGCAAGGGTTGTGAGGTCTCTAGCTGCGACCGGTGTAAAACGTGGGCCTTTGGTGGGGCCGACCCCACGGACCCGACCTCTGAGTTTGGGGTAGGCCCTTTAGGGCTGTTCGTTGGCTCTGATGGTGTTGTGATAAGGTTGACGAGGACGTGCTGAATGAGGTGGTCAAGATTGGGGACTTCTCTAAGGAGTATGCTGTCAAGTGCTTGAAGATTAATAAGCACAATCACGTCACCACATCGTGGGGCCAGAAAACGGAGGAGGGGGTCATCGGTGATTCTGTTTAGGTACTACTTGCTGCTCGAAAAGAAGGCGAGGCATGCTATGGAGCTGAGGAAAGCTGGACGTAGGTGGATCGCTGATTGCAGCAGGGGGCATGCCTTTTCCCAGTTCCTGCCCCTGCAGACACTCGATCAACCTCGACTATCTTGCCCGGGGAGAAGGTGAGTTGCCTGGGAGGTGGCGTAAGGCTCAGCGGCCTGTGCTTAGGGAAGCGATAGGAAGAAGACTGATGCTGAGTTGTTTGAGAAGTTCGAGAGGATAACGGAGAAGCGAGCAGGGAAGGGCGATGTGGAAGTCTCGAGTGATAGGAAAAGTAGGGGGGTCTTAGTCTTCGATTGGCAACTCATTTTCAGGTCCACGGATTCGCTCTCAAGAAGGGGAGAGGTGAGTTCTACCACAGTTTCCTTGCTCGAGGGCGTCGGTTTTGCTCAGGGAATCACCACTCCCGATGGCAAACGCTGGAGAGGTCCATCCTAAGGCTGATGCACCGTCAGAAGCACCATCGTCGGCGCCTCGAACTGATCTGGACGTCGATGCGCTCAGCAGCTGTACCTCCCCTGGCCAGCATAAGCCTCGCTATTACAATACTCAGCGGCAAGGGGCCTCGGGAAGAACGCGGAGGAAGGTAGTGGGGTGGTTGGGGGCTAGAGGGCTCGTGGAGGGCCTCGTTGTAGGTGCCGGCGATCCCGTTGGGCCGAGTGAATGTGAACGATGGTTTTGGCAACTCGCCGGCTTCTGTACGAGGGCATATCCCTAGAGGGTAGGTGGTGAGCCTGAGGCTTTGTCTGTGTAGTGGACTGCTCAGAGCTCCTCCACCACAAGTTGCTCGACTGCCACTGCGGAACAATGCGATAACACCGAGGTGAGTATGCGTGCTGGAGGTGCGACTGATTTAATGGTAGCAGATCGTATGATACTGAGAGCCCTCAACGTTACATGTATGCCCAGACAGTGATACCCCCGCTCTCGGCGAGGTCACGGGCTCGGAAGGTGCTGACTGTGGGTCGAGCATGGTGATCATGAGGGCTTCTTTCAGCCGACTTATGATGTGCCCACTGCAGTTCAGTCAGCTAGGGTCTCGAAGGCCCCACCATACTGCCCGCCCTCGGTAGTCGACAGGTGAGCACCTGTTTTCTCCCGATAGTCGGAAGTAATCGTTCAGGCTGTACCAGAGGGCAGCAGTTGCGCCTTCTAGTGGAGGAGTCGGGAAGGCCGGCGTGAATGTCGTTCGGGCCGCTGCTGATGCTGTGGGTCTTGGCCCCTCGGTAGGCTCACATGTGGTGATCCTAGGTCACCCATAGGACAGCTACTCCTGGTTTTAACAGCGCTAGGAGTCCAGTGGTAGCTCAGAAGCCTCAGCAGCAGGCCAACGGTCCATTGGTGGGTTTTGTATTGCATGGTGGTGGTCATTGCAGGGAGCAGGTCCCGAAGGCCCCTGCTACGGCTCGGCCCACGTACCACACGCGCCCGCCGAACAGTGGGGGGATGCGCTCAAAGAGGTAGTAGGAGCTTATGATAGGTGAATCCGATTCGCGGTGGATGCCAGGTTGGTCCAGGGAGGAGGCCCGAGTGGAGCAGCTCATCGACCTCAGCCTCCACTGTTTTCCTCCCGTACGGCTCGCACGGCAGCTAGCCCTAGGGTCGGTGGAGAGAGCATGGTTTACGTGTCGCTCTACATGTCTGTAAAGGTGTCCGGTCGGCGATCCTCTCATAGCGGCAACCCGCCCTCTACAACTTCCAGTTTCATCTCGGGTACAATGCCGTGTGCTCAGCCACCTATTATTACAGTCACTACGACTAAGGACCCTCGGTAGGGTTGTTGTTCAGTGAAGAGGAAATGATGATGCTCCATAGGGCTGTACTACATGATACGTATAGAGTGTTGGCGGCGCTGGGCATTCAATCGACGCGGACGCAGCCGTTCAATATCAGCTGCAATAGGAGCGGCCTCCAGTAGGGGTTTGTGGGGCCTTCAGCATGACTTGATCTGAGCTGGCAGGTTTGATTTGGAGATCACTCAGCTCGACGAGGTCCAGCCGGTGTACATCGTGAGGTTCAGAAAGACCGTTGGTGGGTGGTCACGGCTCCTTTGTGATGGTGATGTTGGTTCAGGTGATCATAATCAATTTCGTGAGGTCACCAGACGGCTGATTCAAATGCTCAAGTTGTGACAGACTCGTATCGATCGTCTTCACAGTATGAACGACTGCCCAGATTCTTGCAATTATCATTCATTGCTGTTGTCGACATTCTCTGGTACGGTTGACATTCATAAGTGAAGCATTTGAAGGGCATGCATGATTTCATTCCGTCCATCAGCACTATCGTCATCATTTTGGTACATAAATTAGTCTACTGTGCATGGGGACATGAGTAGCAAAGCCCTCTTGTGTTGAGTTGTCGTCGAGGGATGGTATGGTCGTGAGCTGTTCTTGGGGTGGTCGTATAAGTCTTCCACCGGCCAGCCTTATAACGGAAAAGATCAGTACAATTGGTGGCGAATAGGAGGTCGCGGTGATGAGAATGACGAGTATCATCGCTATCTTCGGGCTCCCGCAGGGGTTTTCATGTCAGAGCCTAGGGGCATGATGAGCGGGCGTCGAATAGGGACTTTGCCGGGCTTTGATGACCCTAGTGTCCGAGGTTACTTCTGCGTTTCACGGATGGGGGACTTCAGATGTGCTCTCGCTCCAGCATCAGTGTTCACCACTCTGAATCAAATGCTCGATGAAGGGGAAGTTGAGCAAGAAAAGGGTGCAGCTCGCGATTAAGCTCGTTGCTGGTGCTGGTTGCTCATCGGCGAGTAACTTCAGAGAGCCCAGTCGTGCGTTTCCAGGCTTGTTACACTGCGCAGGAATAATGGACCGCCTGATACAAGTACGGTCAACACTCGAGACCCAGGCCGATTTTGTGGCGATATATTTGTCGGGGCAGAGAGAACAGTAGGAGGTTTTCCCTTATCTAGGCTGCGATTAATGCGACGGTGTCAGAACGTCACTAGAATCCCATATCAACGGCGCAGTATCGCAAGCGCCCTTCGGGAAGTCAATCCTGGTGAAATACGCGTTGATCTTGGTCCTCCAATAATACAAGTCCAAGTCCGCATTCACAGTGGCTGCCGATGGCAACCAACAGTTGAATTACGCTTGGTACGGAGTTTATCCAG